TGTTCACAACGGCCAAGACATGGAATCAACCTGAGTGTCCATCAACTAGTGAATGAAGAAAATGTACATCCAGAGAGGAATATTATTCAGTCATAAAAAAGAAGGAAATCCTGTCATTTGTGACAACATGGATGAAGCTGGAGGAAATTACGTTAGGTAAAATAAGCCAATCACAGAAAGACAAATGCCACATCATCTCATTCATATGTGGAATATTAAAAAGTCGGTCTCATAGAAGTAGAGTAAAATGGTGGTTACCATGTGCTGAGGTGGTTTTGGGGAAGGTTGGGGAGATGGCCAAAAGATAAAAAGTTTCAGCCAGTCAGGAGGAATAAATTCAAGAGATGTATTTTATACTATGGTGACTATAGTTAACATACTGTATTCTTGAAAATTGCTGAGTGGATATAAAGTGTTCTTACCACAAAGATGATGACTGTGTGAGATAGTATGTTACATGTGGTGATATGTTACCATATGAGGTACTGTGTGTGTTAATATGTTACTATGAGAGGTAATGTGTGTGGTGAGATGTTACCACATGAGGTAGTATGTGTGTTAATATGTACTATGAGAGGTAATGTGTGTGGTGATATGTTACTATGTGAGGTAATATGTCTGGTGATATGTTACTATGTGATGTAATATGTATAGTAATATGTTACTATGTGAGTTAGTACATTGATTAGCTAGATTTAGTCATTCCACAGTGAATAGATACTTTAAAACATCATGTCATACAGGATAAATCTATACAATTTTATCTATTGATTTAAATTTTATTTATTTATTTGTTTATTTATTGAGATAGAGTCTCGCTCTGTCACCCAGGCTGGAGTGCAGTGGCATAGCCTCGGTTCACTGCAACCTCTGCCTCCTAGGTTCAAGCGATTCTTCTGCCTCAGCCTCCGGAGTAGCTGGGACTACAGGCATGCACCACCACACCCAGCTAATTTTGCATTTTTAGTAGAGATGGGGTTTCACCATGTTGGCCAGGCTGGTCTCAAACTCCTGACCTCAGGTGATCTTCACACCTTGGCCTCCCAAAATGCTGGGATTACAGGCGTGAGCCACCATGCCCAGCCTACATTTTTTTTTTAAATGCTATTTTGAAGAAAATATGTGTGATGACATGTTACTATATGATGTATACGGTGATATGTTACTATGTGAGGTAATATGTATAGTAATATGTTACTATGTGAGGTATTGTGTGTGGTGATATGTGACTATGTGAGCAATATGTGTGGTAATATGTTACTATGTGAGGTAGTACACTAATTAGCCAGATTTAGTCATTCCACAGTGAATATATACTTTAAAACATCATGTTGTACGGGATAAATCTCTGTAAGTTTATCTGTCTATTTAGTTTTGTTTTTAAAAAAGAAAATATTACACTGTTTTGAAGAAAATAGGCACATTGCTAAAACTGACTAAACTATTAGCACTGCAAAGGGCTCTTACTACGAAAGCTGTCAGTCATTTCTTTGATAAATAGTATACATATTTTTATTCAATAAAACCTTCTGAAATGCTACTCAGAGGCCAAATAAAGCTGCAGCCTAATTTCCTAAGACTTCAATCTTTGCTTTGTTCTTGAATTTTCTCTTGCCTACTTCCAGTCCCAGAGAATGGGGTGCAGGTAGGAGGTTGGAGGAGGGTAGAAGAGGGAACAGAGGACAGATGCGAGGTCAAGGGTGTGGGGAAGATGAGGATTGATAGTGCAGGGCAGCTAATTCCTGAAAGCTATAAAGTGGGTGGCTTTGAAGGCTTGAAGGGCTCTGCCCAGGTGTGCAGTGGAGAAAGGGGTTTGCCAGCTCTTTGCCGCGCACCAGGGATCTAGGGTTCTGAGAGGAGTTCCTTATCCAAGGTGGGCTCGGACAAGGAGAAAACGAAAACATAGGTAGCAGCCAACAGCATGCAGCACTATGGCATGCCAGCAGCCGTGCCGGGCATTTTACAGATCTTTTTCAGGCTGTAACAACCCTGCACATGAGGTGCTGTTCTCAGGCCCATTTTTAGGGATGAGAAAACTGAGGCGATTAAGAGATTTAAGAACTTTTGCAGGCCGGGCGTGGTGGCTCATGCTTGTCATCCTAGCACTTTGGGAGGCCAAGGCGGGCAGATCACCTGAGGTCAGGAGTTCAAGATCAGCCTGGTCAACCAACATGGTGAAACTCCATCTCTACCAAAAATACAAAAATTAGCCAGGCGTGGTGGTGCACACCTGTAATCCCACCTAATTGGGAGACTGAGGCAGAAGAATTGCTTGAATCCAGGAGGTAGAGGTTGCAGTGAGCTGAGATGGCGCCACTGCACTCCAGCCTGGGTGACAGAGCAAGACTCCTTCTCAAAAAAAAAAAAAAAAAAAGAAAGAAAAAGAAACTTGTTCAAGGTTCCAGGGCTAGTGGGAGAGCGCACATTTGAGAAGGGTTAACCCACTTCTTGCCCTGCCCTCCCCATCCACTGGGGGGAAATCTCCTACCAGCCCCCTGCTTGTGTGAGGGGCAGAGCGCCAGAGGGAATTTCTCACCCCCACAGCCAGATAGTGTTTACAATCAGATTGAATTAAATTTAAATAGTTTTTAAAAAGTGACCTTAATAATAGACAGGCAAAAGTGGCTCTGGGTGAAACAAAAGAAACCAGAGACCCCCTTGGTTGAGTTTGTAGTATTGTCTAGATTTCTTATATTATTGTTTGTCTGATAATTCTATTTTATTTATTTAGTTATTTATTATTTATTTATTCATTATCGAGATGCAGTCTTGCTCTGTTGCCCAGGCTGGAGTGCAGTGGCACGATCTCGGCTCAATGCAACCTCCATCTCCCAGGTTCAAGCAATTCTCCCTGCCTCAGTCTCCCCAGTAGCTGGGATTACAGGCACCCACCACCACGCCTGGCTAACTTTTTGTATTTTTAGTACAGACAGGGTTTCGCCAAATTGGCCAGACTGGTCTCGAACTCCTGACCTCAGGTGATCCACCCACCTCAGCCTCCCAAAGTGCTGGGATTACAGGCATGAGCCACCGCACACGGCCATATCTGATAATTTTAAAAAATATATGTAAGTGCTTCTCCTGTGCTTATTGGCAGAGCTGGGAACAGACTCTGGTCCCCCGGTTTCCATTTAAGTATCTCCCCTTGGAACCTGGATTTCTATCATGTCCTGAGTTCACGGCATTTCTGCCTGGCTCAGACCAAACACAATCCGCACAAGTCTCCTTCTACATCCACAAAACTCCAGCTGATTCCTCGGCATTTAAAAAAAAAAAAAAAAACTTTTCATTATTCTGCTTAAAAAGCCTATTAACATGGCTTATTTTCTTTTTGTACTTGGATGAAAGTTCCCCACAGCAAGGGAAAGTGATTGCGCTCATGGGTGCGAGGGTGATAGAATTTCGATATTTGTTCTTGCCCAAATCTCATGTTGAACTGGAGTCCCCATTGTTGGAGCTGGGGCCTGGTAGAAGGTGACTGGATCATGGGGGCAGATTTCCCATGCATGGTTTAGCACCATCATCTTGGCACTGTCCTCATGATAGTGAGTGAGTTCTCATGAGATCCGCGGCCATTTGAAAGTGTGTGGCATTTCCCCGCTCTCTCTCTTGCTCCTGCTCCCCCTCTGCCCTCTGCCATGATGGTAAACTCCTTGAGGCCTTTCCAGAAACTGAGCAGATGCCTGTGTCATGCTTCCTGTACAGCCTGCAGAAACATGAGCCAATGAAACCTCTTTTCTTTATAAATTACCCCGTTTCAGGTATTTCTTTTTTTTTTTTTTTTTTTTTTTTCCCGAGATGGAGTCTCGCTGTTACCCAGGCTGGAGTGCAGTGGCACAATCTCTGCTCACTACAACCTCTGCCTCCTGGGTTCAAGTGTTTCTCTTGCCTCAGCCTCCTGAGTAGCTGGGATTACAGACGTGTTCACCACGCCCGGCTAATTCTTTTGTATCTTTAGTAGAGATGGGGTTTCACCATCTTGGTCGAGCTGATCTCAAACTCCTGACCTCGTGATCCTCCCACCTCCGCCTCTCAAAGTGCTGGGATTACAGGCGTGAGCCACCGCCCCTGGCCTCAGGTATTTCTTTATAGCAATGCAAGAATGGACCAATACAAGGGGTGAGTCAGAAACTCCATTCCCAGCCCAACATTTCCTTACAGTGACATCATTTATCTCAAAACTTCAGGTCATGTCTGCCACTTGACACTAACGATGACAGTCAAACATTACTGAATTCTTGCTTGCCAAGCACCAGGGTTGTATAAGTGCTTTACATTTGTTACCCTGTGAAATGTTCACAGCAGCTGTATGAAGCAGTAACTAATATTCTGTCCTCATTTTACAAGTGAAAAGACTGAAGTACAGAGAGGGTAAGTAACTAGGCCAAAGTCACAGCTGGCAAGGGGAGAGCCTGGATTCAACATGGATAGCTAGCTTTAGAGCCGAGGCTGTTAACTTCTGTGCTCTAGTATTTTCACATTATACTGGGGGTGGGATAGTTTAAAACAGTAGCCCTTGGTGGGGGCAATTTGGCACCGCCAATCCTGCCAGGACAAAAGGCAATTCTGAAGACATTTGTGGTGTGTATGCTACTGGCATACCGGACAAAGGGACAAAGGTGTGTGTGAGCTTGTGTTTGTGTGTGCTACTGGCATCTGGTGGGTAGAGGCCAAAGGATGATACTAAACACACCACATTATACAGGACAGTCTCCACACCAAAGAATTATTCAGCCCCAAATGCCAATGGCACCAAGGTTAGGTAACCCCAGTCTGAAAGCGTTTTAAACTGCTTGCTAGCTAAATTCCTTCATTTTCTTTGTTAAACCTTCTCCAAGAAACACCATGTTATGCCGTGACTTGTGGATGTATGCCTCTGGCATCACAATTCTGAAAGCCCTTTTGAGAATTTTGGCATTGAAATGTGTGCAAGTGACAAAATCTCGTGAGGTTTCCTGATGTCCTGAGGTTTAAGGGCAGGAAATTTTTTGTCCACCTACCTTCTCTGACCGGACGGTGAACAACAAATGGAGTTTTCCTTCTTTAACCACCAATGGCAAAAGGATGGAATATTTGTTATATGGCAAGTGAGAATATTTGCCTCCAATGTCATACTTTCTTAAGCGGGCCTTAGCATCATCTAGCAAACTGTTTCTAAAATAAAAACAAACCAGACAGACATTTTAGTAAGCAGAGTTACGGTAAAAAGCTTATAGTCCCACCCCTGTTTCTGCTTTGTTGTGTATTTAGGAGTTTGCCATTTCTGACTCTCTGTGTATTTTTCAATAACACGACAGAAATGATAGTATCTAAATTGCATGGTTGCTCGCAAGATGAAAATGACAAAAAAACCTCCTAAGCACACAGTTTAGTACACAAGTTCTCTTTGAAACATAAGGTATGGTAAAATGTTTTTTCAATAATGCAATAGTTGAATTTTGAAAACTACAATTATATTCAGAGAAGACAGGTTTGATGAAAACATCATTGTTAAGGTTAGAAGACCACTTTCTGTTAAGCTGGCCCTTATGTTCTCCAACTCCTATGTCTTCAACTGCCTTATAACAGTGGTTCTCAAACTTTGGTAGCAACAGAATCACCTGGAGGGCTGGCTGTCACATAGACTGCTAGGTTCAGTCCCAGACTGTGACTCAGTAACTCTCATGTAGGGCCTGAGAATTAGCATTTGTATCAAACTCCCACATGACAGTGTTACGCTGTGGACAGGGGAACACATTTTGAGAACAATTTCCCAATAATATCCAAGTATTTGGATTTATAACCACAAATGGTGCCTTCCTATGTGGACTTGTTTTGGTCCTTTTGACAGGTGTGTTTTGCTGCTAGTTTGTATAGTGGGTTGAACAGTATCTCCTCACCCCTGAAATTCATGTCTACCCCAAACTTCAGAGTATGACTTTATTCAGATATAGGATCTTTTTAGATGTAATTAAAGTGATCTCTAAATCCAATGACTGTTGTCCTTATAAGAACCAGAAACAAACCGAGTGCGGTAGCTCACGCCTGTAATCCCAAAACTGGGACGTTGAGGCGAGAGGATTGCTTGGGCCCAGGAGTTTGAAACCAGCCTGGTCAACATAGCAAGACCCTGTCTCTACAAAAGAAAAAAAAAAAAGCATAAATTAGCTTGGGCATAGGGCATGCAACTCTATTCCCAGCTACTTGGGAGGCGGAGGTGGGAGGATCACTTAAGTCCCAGAGTTCAAGGCTGCAGTGAGCCATGATTGCACCACTGCACTCCAGCCTGGGTGACAGAGTGAGACCTGACTCAATAAAAAATAAAATTAAATTAAATTAAAGAAGAAGAAAAAACACGGAGACACACACACAGGGAAGAAGACCATGTGAAGATGGCGGCAGAGGTTGAAGTGATGCTGCTGTGAGCCAAGGAATGCCAGAAACCACCAGAAACTGGAAGAGTCAAGGAAAGGTCACCCCCAGAGCCTTCTAAGGGAGTGTGGCCCTGCTGACACCTTGATTTTGGACTTCCAGCCATGAGAGACCATTTCTATTGTTTTAAACCACCCAGTGTGTGGTACTCTGTTATGACAGCCCTAGAAAAGGAACAGTTGATTTTACTTTTTCTGTGGGATGGCGGTTTTGCATAGTGGGCAGAATCAGATGTTTAAGATACCCAGAATTGGCTTCAAATGTGTATAGGAGGCCTGGTACAGTGGTTCATGCCTGTAATCCCAGCACTTTGGGAGGCTGAGGCAGGTGGATCACTTGAAGTCATGAGTTCGAGACCAGCCTGGCCAACATGGTAAAACTTCACCTCTACTAAAACTACAAAAATTAGCTGGGCATCGTGGCACATGCCTGTAATCCCAACTACTCAGGAGGTTGAGGCAGGAGAATCGCTTGAATTCAGGAGGCAGAGGCTGCAGTGAGCCGAGATTGCCTACTGCACTGTAAGCCTGGGTGGCAGAGTGAGACTCTGTCTCAAAAAAAAAAAAAAAAAAAAAAAGTGTATAGGATTGACTTCTCTGAGTTTCATCTTCATTTGTGTCAGGCTTGAGGATATTTATGCAGATTAAATGATGCAGTTCATATACTGTGGCTGGCACACAGCTGGTGCTCAGTGAATGGTGACCACTGTCATAAATCTCCCCATCATTAGATAAGCAGTTGTTTGCAGGAGGTATTTGCTATTTTTTTGCCTCTTTCTAGATGGCAGGGTGCTCACTAGATGTGGTTGGGTAACAGCAGTGGATTTCAACCACCAAATGGCCTGGAAAGAATCACTGAATGCTGGCACAGGGGATTACACAGTACATCTGATGCAGGCAGGCCCACCTCCAGAAAAGGAAACTGTGGGATGGTGGCTTTTAACCACCCAGAAACCGCAGAAGTGACCAGAGAAACCAGCTGAAGTAAAAGGCTGCAAAAAACGTATCTGTCCACTTTAGGGACTGGCCGCTGGAATAATCACCAAGATATCAACAGCAGTAGCAGCCACCCCGTTCTAAGCATGGTCTCACTTTCCACGTTTCTCATTTTATCCTCACAACAGCCCGGCAAGTGATCACAGAGTCACCTCCAGGCTCAGAGAGCTTACGTAACTGACAGACCCAAGGTCACGACTGGAAGTAGCCACTGGGGGACTTGAATCCGGGGCTGCCTGGTGCGGGGCTGTGCCACCCTCGGGGGTCCTGGGGTCCAACTCTGGAGACGCGGATTGCAGAAGAGCCAAGCCGGCTGGGAAGGGGAGCAGCGTGTATGTAAACCATAGTGGCTAAAGCCGGTTCTGTTACTGGCCAGAGCAGGTGCAAAGGTTCGGGGACCCTGAGGGTTGCTGGAGGCGAATGCTCCCATCGGGGCTCGCAGGTGCTGGCGGGAGCTGCAAAATCGGTCCCGGACTAAAGGCCTCGGTGGCTCCGCTGCTATCAAGGCTGGGCCTGGCCAAGCTCGGGGCGCCAGGACCCGGAAAGGCTTTACCTGACTGGCTCCTGGGGAAGACCAGGTGGTGACATTGCCCTGGGGAATGTTTGTTTCCGGGCGGACTCCTCGGAGCTGCTCTGCCGGTCGCGCTTGCGCAGAGCAGCCCTGGGCCTGGGCGCGGCCTAAAGCCAGAAAGAGAGGCGGGGCTTAGAACAGGAGGCGGGGCGGGGTCTGGGGCGGAGACAGGGGACGGGGGGAGGCTAGCTCTGGGGTCGGAGGCTGGTATCGGGGCGGGGCCTATGGCCAGAGGCGGGACTAGAGGCGGGGAGAGGCGCGGGGCGGGGCTTAGGGCTGGGTCTCCCCGGTTGCGCAAAGCCGTTTCTGCCCGGCTCCTTGGGCTTCTATGGAAGCAACAGGCACAGGAGTTGTGGAATTTAGATCTGGAAGAGTTTAAAAAGAAAAAAAGAAAGAAAGAAAGAAAGAAAATACCGTGCTGGTGAGGTGATAGGATTTTACACTCGCATCCACTGTTGCTGGAAGGTTAAGGTGATTCATTCAACCTTTTTGAACTGCTGTCAGCACTTGCAGATCCCACAGCTAGCGAAAAGACACGTGGAGCTCACAGTTAAATGGTAGAAACATAAATTAATCACACAAGGCTGGGTGCAGTGGCGTATGCTTGTAATCCCAACACTTTGGGATGCCAAGAGGGGAGGATCACTTGTAATCCAGGAGTTCCAGACCAGCCTGGGCAACATGGGGAAACCCCATCTCTACAAAATAAAAATAAAAAATTAGCCAGGCATGGTGGCACGCACCTGTGGTCCCAGCTACTCAAGAGGTTGAGGTGGGAGGATCGCTTGAGCCCAGGAGGTCGAAGCTGCAGTGAGCCGTGATTGCGCCACTGCACTCCAGCCTGAAAGAGGTAGACCCTGTCTCAAAAATAGTAAGAAGATAAAAAGTTTTTGATGCAAAAAAAAAAAAAAAAAATTCACGCAGGGGCCTTTGGTCCTTCTTGAGCTTGCGAAGGAGAAATGTGACCAAATTAGCAGGCAGAGAAGAGTTGGTAGAGGAAATAGAAGTGCACTTCATTTTGAAAGCAGCAGTTCTCAAAGCGTGGTCCCCAGACCAGCAGCATCCGGATCACTTTGGTCCTGTTAAAAATGTGGACTCTGACCCAGGTGCGGTGACTCACACCTGTAATCCCAGCACTTTGGGAGGCCGAGACGGGTGGATCACCTGAGATCAGGAGTTTGAGACCAGCCTGGCCAACATGGTGAAACCCCTTCTCTACTAAAAATACAAAACTTTGCCGGTGGCGGGCGCCTGTAATCCCAGCTACTAGAGAGGCTGAGGCAGGACAGTTGCTTGAACCTGGGAGGCGGAGGTTACAGTGGGCCGAGATCGTGTCATTGCACTCCAACCTGGGCAAGAAAAGCAAAACTCTGTTTCAAGAAGGAAGGAAGGAAGGAAGGAAGGAAGGAAGGAAGGAAGGAAGGAAGGAAGGAAGGAAGGAAGGAAGAAGGAAGGAAGGAAGGAAGGGAGGGAGGGAGGGAGGGAGGGAGGGAGGGAGGGAGGGGAAGGAAGGAAGGGAGGAAATAAAAGTGAACTTTAGGCTAGCCACACCTGCTGAATCGGGGGGAGGAGGAGGGAGGGAGAGGGAGGAAGGAAGGAAGGAAGGAAGGAAAGGAAGGAAGGAAGGAAGGAAGGAAGGAAGGAAGGAAGGAAGGAAGGGAGGGAGGAAATAAAAAGTGAACTTTGGAGGCCCACGCCACACCTGCTGAATCGGAAGCCAGGGGTCAGGCCCAGTGATCTGTGCTGTAAGGGGATTCTGATGTTCTGTGCGGGATAGTGGAGATAAATGAGGAAAAGGGCAAGGGAGAGTGTTCAAGGAAGAGGGCAAAGTTTGTGCAAAGACAGCAGAAAGGGGCTGGAGAAAAGTGTGTGTGAGCCTGGTGCGAGCTGAGAATCCAGGGGTCAGTGTAGGGCGACTTCTCCCTTAGAGGCACAGGAGGCACACAGTAATTTTAGGGACCTGTGTAAATGTTTTGATTGTAATTTCTTTTTAAATTAGAACAAGAAAAGGAATGTAATAAAAGCAATATATAATAATGAATCCAGCTTGGATTACAGTCATCTTTATATGAATGCAGTCATAAATATTCATTTTTAAATTATTTTATGGAAGAAGGGGAGAACAAAAACAAAAGTAGCTAGGGCCCATGAAAGTCATATTGTGGCTGGCCCTGGGTCAGTGGGGCAGTTTGTGATATTAACAAAATATCGCTGTGATATTTACAACATCCAGTGTTTACACACCGTGACATCAATGAAATATCGCTGTGGTATTTATAATATCCAATGTTTACACACCGTGATATTAATAAAATATGGCTGTGATATTTGTAATATAAATTGTTTACACACCGTGATATTAATAAAATATAACTGTGATATTTATACTATCCAGTGTTTACACACTGTGATATCAATGAAATATCTCTGTGATATTTATAATATCAAGTGTTTACACACCATGACATCAATGAAATATCACTGAGGTTTACAACATCCAGTGTTTACATACCATGACATCAATGAAATATCACTGTGATATTTATAATATCCAGTGTTTACACACTGTGATATTTATAAAATATGACTGTGATGTTTGTAATATACGGTGTTTACATACTGTGATATTAAGCAAACATCGCTGTGATATTTATAATATCTGGTGCTTACACATCATGATATGAATGAAATATCGCTGTGATATTTATAATATCCAGTGTTTACAAACTGTGATACTGATGAAATATCGCTGTGATATTTACAATATCCAATGTTTACACAAAGTGTTTGTGCACTGTGATGTTAATTAAATATCGCTGTGATTTTTATAATATCCAGTGTGATATTAATGAAATATCACTGTGATATTCATAATATCCAGTGTTTCCACACAGTACTTACATACTGTGATATTAATAAAATATCACTATGATCTTCATACTATCCAGTGTACACACAATGCTTACACACTGTGGCATTAATGAAATATCCCTGTGATATTCATAATATCCATTGTCTACACACAGTGCTTACACACTGTGACATTAATGAAATATCCCTGTGATATTCATAATATCCATTGTCTACACACAGTGCTTACACACTGTGACATAGTAATGAAATATCACTGTGATATTTACAATATTCAGAGTTTACACACTGTGATATCAGTGAAATATGACTGTGATACCGGCACTGTGATACTGGCAAAATATTGGTATGATAGTTACAGTATCCTGTGTTTACACACTGGTTACACACTGATATCGGTGAAATATCACTGTGATATTTACAGTTTCCAGTGGTTTCACACTGTGATGTTGGTGAAACGTCACTCTGATATTTACAATACCTAGTGGTTACACACTGTGATATCAGTGAAATATCGCTGTGATATTTATAACATCCAGTGTTTACACACAGTGTTTACACGCTGTGATATTAATGAAATATCTCTCTGATACTTATAATATACGGTGATTACACCCTATGATGCTAGTGAAATATCACTCTGACATTTATAATGTCCGGTGGTTACACAAAGTGTTTACACGCTGTGACACTAGCGAAATACTGCTCTGATATTTGTAGTATGCAGTGTTTACACATGGTGATATAGAGAAATTTCGGTCTGATATTTGTAATATCTAGTGTTTACACGATGTGACATTAGTAAAATTTCTCTCTGATATTACTAATATCCAGTATTTACATACTGAGACATTCGTGAAATTTCGCCCTGATATTTATAATATTCAGTGTTTACATACTGTGACATTAGTGAAATATTGCTCTGGTATTTATAATATCCAGAGTTCACACACAGGGTTTACACACTGTGACACTAGTGAAATATCAGTCTGATGTATATAATTTCCAGTGTTTACACAAAGCGTTTACACACTGTGATACTAGGAACATTTTGTTTTGATATTTAGAGTATCCAGGGTTTACACACTGTGATACTAGGGAAATTTAACTCTAATATTTATAGAATCCAGGGTTTACACTGTGATACCAGGGAATTTTTGCTCTCGTATTTAGAGTATCCAGGGTTTACACATTGTGATACTGGGGAAATTTTGCTCTGATATTTATAGTATCCAGGGTTTACACACTGTGATGTTAATGAATATCGCTCTGTTGAGGATACATGTAATATCCAGGGTTTACACACTGTGATATTAATGAAATATTGCTCTCATGATACTAATTGTAATATCCAGTGTTGACACACTGTGCTATTAACAAAATATCACCCTGATGTTACTTGTAATATCCAGTGTTTACACACTGTGATATTAATGAAATATCACTGTGATGATATTTACAATATCTAGTGTTTACACACTGTGATATTAATGAAATCCAGGGTTTACACAGTGATATTAATGAAATATCTCTCTGATGATGTTTATAATATCCAGTGAGTGAAATATCACTCTGATATTTATAATATCCATTGTTTACACACTGTGCTATTCATGAAATATGGCTCTGATATTTATAATATCCAGTGTTTATACATTGTGATATTCATGAAATATTCCTCTGAGATGTATATTTATCCAGTATTCACACACTGTGATAGTAATGGAATATGGCTCTGATATTTATAACATCTAGTGTTTACACACTGAGATAGTAATAAAATATTGCCATGATATTTATAATATCCAGTATTTACACATTGTGATATTAATGAAATATAACTCTGATAATTATAACATCCAGTGCTTATACACTAAAATATTACTGAAGTATCTCTCTGATATTTATAATATCCAGTGCTTATACACTAAAATATTAATGAAATTTTGCTCTGATATTTATAATATCCAGTGTTTAGACACAGTATTTACACACTGGGATATTAATAACATATTGCTTTAATAATATCCAGTGTTTAGACACAGTGTTTACATACTATGATGTTAATGAAGTATCGCTCTCATATTTATAATATTCGGTGTTTACACACTATGTTATTAAAGAAATGTCGCTCTGATATTTATAATATCAACATTTACACACGGTTTTTAAACACGTTGATAATAATGAATTATGGCTGATATTTAAGTATTTACACACTGTAATAGTAATT